AATAAGATTTTATAATGAAGTTTGAACTATCAGAAAAAATAATATGAACCATAAGACTGCAAATGAAATATTCTTCGTGTACCTGCCTGACTTATGACAATATTCTGTCAAGACTGAGTTGGATAAAACAACATAAAACTGTCGACGTTCACTGATCACTATGTTAAGTTGTGTAATGCGGTATAATTTATGACTTTTCTATGTGCTTTTTTAACCATAAATGATCTGCCACCAAAAAATAGAATTTTCGAAGTGTAGAAAGCTTTGTCAATAAAATGATAATTCAGGCATTAAGATTGATTACTGGAAAGCTATCGTCATATCTTGATCTAAGTTAACATTTTAGTCATTCATTTAGGAATCTCATACTTCACTGTTCGTACCAGTATTTGCCCATAAATATGGTCAAAATAAGACCAATGACGTTCCTGAAATGTTGTGAATTGATTTTAGATCTTCATTTTCTGTTTGGTCAAATATGAGATATTCCAAGTAATACGCTGAACTCAAATTAACAGTTGAAGTATATCTTGCTTAATTATCAATGGTATATAAGGGATGTCATAAGTTTTCTAAACTACTACGTTATAGAATGTTAAAAGAAACTTGTCATTACCAACCTATTTATTCAATTTCACAAAACTGACAAATTAAACAAAGATCTATAGATACATGAGGTACTGAAGATAATTTTTTCAAAAACATTCTCTGATAATATATAATGTCGGTTGTATAATGCTTCTTTTATTATTTCAGGTGTAAATTAACAAAACAGTCTAGAGATTGGATGTGGTTAATATTGTATCGTAATACTCAATTTGTGCAACACATAATACTAATTTACACAAAAAGGTATAATGTAAAGATTTTATAAACTATTAGCCTATATTGATAGACAACTCTTAGATGCATTAAGTAGTTTTTTATCTGAACATGCCAAAAAGTACATTACAACATTGAAAAAGTACAGTTATTTTTCATTTAATTACTGATGTTTGTCTTTGTTTCACTGAACTTCTTTATAATAAACAATTATGTACGATAAATACATAATAAGGTAATCTTGGACAAGTTATTGGATCCAAAAATAAAAACATCGAACTTGAGTTTGTAACGAATGCATACTGGGTAAATAATATAATAGATTCAGTATGAGTGAATAGCTATCAGTAAAATACTAAATATATATTTTGCCTCATTAATTTTAAAATTATATTTGTTGCTGAACGTAACCAGATTCAGAAAATACATTTTGTGTAATTACTTATTGCATCTGATAACAACATCCAAATAAACTATAAATGAACAATATATTTGTAGTATCCAAATTAGTAGTAAAATTAGAGTTTCTGACGTTTCGTGACTTAGTGTAAGTCACTTCTTCAGAGAATAAATAACCAAATTTTTCTACTCATTGGGATATTACAAATATATTATTTATTTATAACAACCTACCCAATGCTCAACTTATTCGAAATTACCAAATCAAACCTTGGTAATGATACCTACATCCAAATAAACTATTTCAGCTAATATATTAAGTGATTTAGTGTTTATTACATGACTAATAAACGTTTGGATATATTTGCGACGAGAAGCTCTTTTTTCGAACTAAAATGAACCTTGATTGATGATTCAAGTTAATTCCCGCTCCAAAAACTTCAAGTCATCAGTACTTTAATAAACTTAAACCATAATTATAGCAGTAACCGTGAAGTAAGCAACTTCATCTCAAAATAATTTTCTTAGGTTGATTGATTTTTTCACATAAATTCAAGGGCACAATTGCTGTCAATCAAACACTAAATTTTGATCATAGTTGATCAACGGAGATCCCACTTCAGAAATGAAACAATAATTGACAACCATTTTGTAATGAAATTCACTCATAGAGCAGATTTATTTTAAAACCAATTAAACTAAAACTTGGAACGTCATACAAACGTAAGCTTTACATCTTTTCGTTTCAGTACCGGAGTCGTATGTCATTCTGAAGACTAAATAATTATCCAGGTAATGATATATATATATATATATATATATATATAATGAATATGAGAACAACGAATAGAAATTATATGTCGTAACTACTTTGATAGATAGATACTTTCTGAGAATAACAACACTGACTTCATTTATCGAATTTCAGTCACTTAATTATTTAAGCACTTTTTTATTCTATGAAGTTGTTTCTCTTGAACTTAACGCTGCTATTTTTCCACTTCCATGACGATTACACAACTTAATTGACTTTCCTGAGCAATAGCACTTTTTCAGATAACATGTATGTTATTATGTTGAAAAGAAAATTGCTTAACCAGTCATTATTTATTATCCTATCGGTTGTGAATTTCACTGTTCATAATGGTTCGTATCAGCATCTATCATAAAGTCACTTAACATCAGTTTATTGATTACGGTTTTTACACATTTTCTGATTGTAGCAATAATATCCTCCTAGATAAAATCTATTTGGCTAGTCACAGTGAAATTACTGAATCAGATTTATTCTCACATTAACTTCTTCTTGATACCGAATTTCAGTATTCTTCCATTCACTCGTTTTCATCCCTTCTACTCAAACCATACTTCCAATGTCCAGTTTTCCTAATTATCATTACTACTACACACCAACTCTATCCTTTGCTCTCCTTTCCAACTGTTACCAATTGTCAGTATAGGAGTTGTGGAGATTATTAAGGTTTTGGTTGAGATCATGCTCCGATTGATGTTAGACCACCGTTGGAAACCTGGAAGCACGGGATGGCCATTTCGTCCTATTGTGGGACTCATCAGCAGTGCGCATCCACGATCCCACCCCACGAGATCCAAACCCAGAGCTCTCAGTCACGCGTGCCAACGCTTAACTTATAGACCACTGAGCCAGCATCCAACGGTATTAACGTCTAACCCCAACCAATCCACGAAATCGCGCAACCGTCTTCTATTGTACTGAGTTAGATACCTGTCTCTACCCGACACGATTAGCTCCATTGGTCAGAATTTCTCAGTAGAACTCGGAGAATTCTCTCACGAAGCTAGTCACTAGTGAGTACATGTTAATTATCAATATAGGGGTTGTGGAGATTATTAAGTTTTTGATTGAGATCATGAGATCATGTTACCGATTGCTATTCATTCTTTTCATATCTGCCTCTGATTCCTAGCACAATGTATTCCTTTTATCCTGAAGGTCCTATTTACCTTATAAGTCAACATTATTAGGTAAGATCAATTTAAACAGATCAATTATTTTCCTAATCGATAACATAATAGCTATTCAGTTATTGAGGTAAATGATCATGGATATGTTGTTATATTAAAATGGTTTACAAAGCTGCATTTAGCTACTTTACCATTAATGACTAAATGACCGATTCCTATTAGTATTGTCTTCCGATTTATTGTTCAGTACCATTATCTACCACATAATACAGACAATGTTTAAACTTTGATACAAACTTTAAAGTAATTCATAAATTGCTTTCAGTTCTTATTAACTTCTAAAAGAAAATTACATCAACTTTATATCTTATTTAATTTTACATTATAAAAATCGTAAATAATTGATGTTTAAGACATATTATATAAACTACCAATATTCCTACTGATTTTGTATTGTCTATGTATTATTATTTAAACATTCGAATAAACTATTCAATGATTGACATTGTTCTTCATAATGTCTGTTAAATATATATACATATATACCAAGAAATATTCCTAAACTTCCTTTCGTCCCTTCCCTCCTCGTAACATTTACGAATGTGTGTGAACAACAATAGATATAAGGTGACAGTTTACTAGTATTTTCTGTTTAATTAGCAAACATTTATGATATAATTAATTTCAGTAACTATTAAAATTCTTTTCATATATCTATGCAATAAAAGTTTATAAATAATTTCTTTGAAAAAATTGGTACTAAAGACAAAAAGTGATTTATTCTAATAGTAATTCACTCATATGGATTATATTCATGCACAAAAACAGAATTAAAACTATATCCAAATTATAGAGGAAGAATTGTAGTGCGTGCTACTTATATTGATATATGTAGTATATGACGCGAGTCAGGAATGTAATGTCTGGCGGCAGAAGATGGGGAAGATCGAGAAAGGAAGAACGGGAATAAAAAGTAACTAGTATGGAAATGCAAGAACAATGAAGTTCGAGACAATTATTCAACATTTTGCAAATTAAGTATTATAGTATGGTTTTTCTATTTTATCAAGTAACTCTGTAATTTCGCGCTGAACATAATTCGATTGTTCCCACCCGTGTTCTGTTCACTATAGAATATATTTGTAAAATTTCAGCAAAATTACAAATACATTCTTTCTGTTTAATGTCTCACATTAACTCGGTACTTAAATACTGTGAAACTATTCGATCAAATTTAGACGGAAGTTCTTATTTATTATTCTGCAATTCCATCCAAATTGTTTTACGATTATCAACAGAGAAAAAGAACCTCTTTTTACCTACATATTCACAAATTGATTTAATTCTAATTAAATTAAAAATATAATTTACTTCTCAAACGAAAATAAAAGTATACAATGGAATGATGAATAAGCCAAGACATTTCAAACTGAAGCCGAAATTTATGTCAAGATGATATGATTTTCAAGATAGTTTGTCGTGTAATTTAATTGTAGACCTATGAGATAAACTATTTTGTGTTTATGTGATATGACAAAATGTGGGCAAGAAGTTAAAAATAAAATAAAGTTTCATTTAATTGTGGACTAAAATAATTTCATGAATTCAAAACAAAAAAGAAATAAAAGAAAATTATCAGATGATCTAAGTCGGTCTTGTTAGAGATGATATACAATTAGTTAGTAATCTATGCTTCATATGATTCACTTTATGTGTGAATCAAAAAAGAAAGCAAAGATGGATACTGGGTAGCAGTGGAATCCAGGATGCACATTTCATCATATCTCGAACTCGTCAGCTGGATATAACCGCATCTCAGAGTTGATGTTCACTCTGTGACTCAAATATAGTACCCTTCGCTTCAAACACTACCACGTTATCCACTTAGCTACTGAATCCTGATAACCACTTGCTTGTGCAATGAGGTGAAGTTTTAAATTCACTTGATATTGTTTACTTGAATTTTCCGATTGAAGTTTATCACTGCAATTGATCAGTCTCATACGGGCATATGTGCATATTGTGAGTATTGTCTTGTGAATTGAAAAATAGAGGCTTAAAAATGCGTTACCAAACTGAAACTGTCTATACAAGATGGAAAAACTGTCTAGGATCGCTTGATTTTCAGTGGTCCTCCAGCTTAAATAATATGGTGGGCAAACTTCTTTTGGAATTAAAATACCTGATTCTTGTTGTAATCCTCTATGAAAGACCCTTATGTTTGTATCATTCAAGTATTCATTTGATTTCAGCATTATAATATTCACCTACAACAGTATCCTAGAAAATGTAATAGTGAATTCACAAAAGAAACTATTTATTAGGTTACTAATATTATGATTTAACTAGTGGTAAAATGTATGTGAAGTAAATCACTTGATTTACGTAGCATATACGATATGCATTCCAAGTACATGTTACAATTAATAAAGACCAAAAAAAAAAAATGTAAGACAATAATGTTGTTTTGTCTTCATCAAAGTTACGCTTACTTCCTGACAAGGTCAGTTGATTAAAATGTATGATTAAAGCTAGTTACGAACGAAAAATACAATGGTTTTCATTTTACCAACCTTTCATTTGTTCCTCACCTTATTTTTGTTTCATTATTTCTTTTCAACCATTGATTTGATAACTTTTGCAGGTGAATTTAGTAAAATGTCGACAGGTCAAACGGTTTTTAGCTATTTAGAATGAATTTCATTTGAAAATATCTAAAATACCAATCTAGTCTTTTCTGAAGTTGAATTGACAGTATCTTATAAACGAATAAGGTTTATAACCTACAATATTATACACAACAATGCATTTCAACTTCAAAATGGTTAGTGTTACAAATTTAAATAAAAATACAAATACTTACTAAGAAAATCAACATTTACTTAACCTGGTGTTTGATATCGAAACACTGATAGATGTACAGAAAAGATGAAATCCTAATCATCATATGAAGTATTACAGTAATATACTGGTATCATTGAGGGTATAATGTGTCAGAAAAATGCAATTACCAGATTAGTGTACATTTTTATTACAATACCAGTGTGTAATCATATGAAGTATGTGCCAGTATGGAAAGGACTTAAGCGGTTAGGCATGTTTTTATCCCAAAATGAAGGTAGATATTTTTAATCAACTTGAAAATAATAAATATTACCTAATGAAGTCAGTTATTATATATCAGTTATTGAAAGATGACAAGTTCAAAGTGTATATTTTACCACAATTAATATATTCAATATAATTGAATCTAATTCTTAGTACGAACATTGTTTGTTTATCAGAAATATATAGATCTACACTTTTCTTTTTAAGGTCAAGGTAACGATAACGATAAGACGTACTTCTTTTGTACGCATAGTTCTGGTTTAAGCTCCTGGATGGTAAGAGCTTCGGCTATTTTTAAGAGTTGGATACGAAGAACTCTTAAAAATAGCTGAAGCTCTTACCATCCAGGAGCTTAAACCAGAACTATGCGTACAAAAGAAGTACGTCTTATCGTTATCGTTGCCTTGGCCTTAATTACTTTTCTTTTTAACTAAAATGTTAAAGAGAAATCAGTTCATGTTCATTAAATCATTCACGTATTATGTATTTTATTACTGCTAGATTAAAAGTCTTTTAATAAAAATTCTAAAAAAAAATAAATAAAATGAAATAAACAACTCCCAGGAGCATTCAATCAAATTTAATTGAATTTTTCATATTAAACAAAATTACCTTTTATGGTGCTTTGTTTTTCCTGATGTGTAAAATATATTGACCAATCGAAATCAAATTAAATTTAGTCAAATTAAAAATGGTTTGATATAATACAGAATAATTATTTGCTTAGAATGTTTTATTTCAATCTGTTACACTAATGACACAAAAAATATAAAATATCCATAAAGATAATGTTTGTAAGATTTTCTAGTTTTCAATTTTTCATGTTTACTATCACAAAGAGTTTTGTGGATATTATAGTAGTTTAAAAATTGAGTTCATTAATCAATTGAACCTAGATCACTATGGAAAACTTGGAAGCACTAGACGACCGCTTCGTCAAACTATTGGACTGCTCAGTAGTGCGTATCCATGATCCTGCCTGGCGAGATTTGAACCCAGGACCTATCGGTCTCGCACTCGAACACCTAACCTCTAGACCACTGAGTTGGCATCCACCTTCAACAAATCCACGAGATTGAGCGACACATCCATCATGGTCTTCACTGAGTTACTACCTCACAACAGACCCGGTTAATCTATACTGATCACTGCTTTTCACTAGAACTCCAGGAAATACCACTTGACTGGTCTGAAGTCGGTCGTGGTTGCAAGTGATGGGGAGTCCCACAGTAGGCGAAACGGTCGTCCAGTGCTTCCAGGTTTTCCATGGTGATCTAATTTCAATCGACTCATGAACTCAACTATTAACTTACTATTATATCCACAAAATCCCCTTCTGATAATAATCATCATATGCTCACTAGTGACTGGATTCAAGAGATATTTCCTGGAGTTCTAGTGAGAAGCAGTGACCAGTGGAGTTTTTAATGTTTGTCAAGTTATATTTTGAAGAAGAACATTTTCTGTATTTAAGGCTGTTTACGACTTTCGAAAAATGTCAAAGTTTTCTTGAAGTGTTATTCATAACACTAAAAATTACAGTAGTCTGATGTATGAATATGGTTAACAAATGGCAGTAATATGAAATTTGTTGTGGGAATGCAAAAATCTATTTAATAATGAGCCTTTACACTTTTATAATCCTTAAAGCAAAAAGAAATAAGTCTAGCAGAAAAAAGCTATCAAATGTTTTCTCTGTTTCTTTCACTCATTTGAACACCGAGCTGACATATATAGATACAAATACAACTAATTTTTTTAAAAAGACTGAAATCATCGTAGAAAATGAAAGAATAGTACGATAAAAATATTATATTTATTCAAGACATGATGAAGTAAGAATATGTTTTAACTGTTCATTGTTCACATTAAGTAATTAGCTCCATTAATTAATCCATAAAAGTAAAACGTACATTACAAATATTTATGCGATATCAAAGAGATTGAGTAGTTTGTTAGTTAAGAATCTAAATAGCATTCAAACGTACAAAATGTTCCTTAGGTTCTTAAACAAAACTTCAAGAAACTAAACAAAATGAGATAGAATTTGCAACAATATTATTATTTTTAGATTGAGACCATGAATCGACCAAGGTTAGACCACCATTGAAAACCTGGAAGCACTGGACGGCCGATTCGTCCTAGTATGGGACGTTTCAGCAATGCGCAACGGCGATCCTGTGCGCGAGATTATAACTCAGGACCTTCAGTTTCGCGTGCAGAAGCCTAACTTCCAGATCACTGGGCCGAAATCTGACAGTAATGTCCCAGAGGTTAAGTGGTCGCGCATGAGACTGAAGGTCCTGGGTTACAATACTGCGTTCGGAATGGTGGACACGCACTGCTGAAGAGTCCCATACTAGGACAAATTAGCCGTTCAATGCCTCCAGGTATTTAGTCGTCGTCTAACCTTGATCGATTCATGATCTCAATCAAAAACGTAATCTCCACAACCCCACACTGATAATAATTATTTTTGCCAGTGTATTTCAAAGAGCTGCGATCATGATTCACTTATAAAGTGGGAATGGTACTCTAATTGAATTTTTTAAAAGTTCCAGGTGATAAAATCAGAATGGAGAAAACAAGTAAGTTGAAACGACTTGACAGAATAAATTAAATATTTTGCAATTAGTGTCAATAAGTTTTTAGAATATGCTAACAATAATGTATCTGTCATCCAATCAGCCGAAATATAGCGAAATGACCTAATAGCTAAGCATTACACTTGTAACACATTCAAGCAAACGAACATAACCTGTTTCTGTTGTCTAGCATTAGCTAAACCGGATTTCTTAATGGTTAATCCTAACTTTTATCTTTGATATATTTGATGCAAATAGTAAGACAAATCATTGATATATTTCACTTGTTTGTGTAATGTATTCTAGATGACTCATGGAGTCTATGGATAAAATTAGTGTTATATTGATTCTCTACTTTAGTTTACTCTTGAGCATCATGTAATCAATCTCGGTTCAGTGCAAATTATTTATTAACCTATAAAATCTCTATGGCAGCCACAAAATTATGTAGAATTAAGGATTTTAGAAATATTTGCACGGTTCAGTGGTTTATTTACAGTTATATTAAATGAGTTAACAAATATTACTATGGGTGACGTTAAACATTCCATTTTTTTAGTATTTTAGATAATGCAAAATAATTGTATCTCTAATGGATGCGTTAGATGGAACTTATTTCTTTGAGCTAAATGTTTCGTTTATGAAATTCTCACCAACATCAGTAGTGATGATTTCCAGAATGACAACAAAAGTTATGTAATATTTTAAGTCTATAGAAGTAAATTATTTGTCCTACCAACTGATAAATAAGTACTTTCAGCCTTTGCCTCAGTTCACATTTAACAGCTGTATTTCTAGAAGTTGACTAGTATAGTCCCTACTGAATTTAATCACATTTTAATGCTAATATTCTTATTTCCAGGGATATTCAATAATAGTTGTAAAACTAAAATAAATTGACTAGTTATCTTTGTAATTCTCTCACTGGTTACTATGTATTATGGTAAATGGAAATATAGAGAAATAGCTTCTTCGTACATATACATCAATAACGTGAAAAATTTTGCCGAAATATCTTAGAAATCGATCTTTCCCAATAGATTTTATTCATTTGATTATCAGATTCAGATTTGTGTAGTAAGGACAGAAGGCCAACGGCCTATGTTATTCCTTTTCTAGTATGCTTCTGTGAGTGTCCAGTCATCTCTTGAAAGAGTCAATTGAAGGTGCGGACACCACTGCTTCAGGCAGCAGGTTCCAAGTATTGATGACGCGGTGTGAAAACCTGTATGCCACGGGTATTTTGTTCGTTCTTGGCTTATTGTAACAAAATATTTTATAAAGAATTATTAACAAATTAATAGAAAAATATGACTTTTTGATATGCAAGTGATAACGCTTGTGTTGGAGAATCTGAATTCGTAAAAGTAAAAAGATTTTTAAGTCTTTTTCATAATATTACTTAAGATTTGGGTACTTATAACAACAGACCAGAGAAAAGGCACAGAAGTCGAGTAGTGTATGATGATAAGCATATGTTTTAAGTATAAATCTAACTTGCGTTCTCAATACTATACTTTAACAAAACGTTACGTGATTAACATTGACTGTTAGATTAAAATAATCAGAGTACAGCAACAGTTAATA